TGCACATATACTCTATCAAGTGTGTAGAGGTCACAGTCAGTTTTCCTTCCTACGGCAGGGGTCCTAGAGATCAAACTCATCAGGCTTGGTAGAATGCAAGTGCCTTTACCCCTGAGCCATCTTTTGAGCCTAACTATAACTTTCAGACATTTTATTTTCAGAAAGATCTTACTAAGTTGAGACTGGCCTCAATAAGGAAGTAGGCCTGTCTCAGCCTTCCAAGAAGCAAATATGCCCAACTCACTGTGTTGCTTTGCTTTATATTAAAACTTTCTGTTCACCACATAGTATTGGCTGAAAATGACAAATCCAAAATTATTTGCCTTTCAGGAAAGTTTTTGTTTTCATCCCAGAACTTATAATTTTTTTTTAAATCAACAAAGGGATTGTGTAATTCAGATCCAAATGGAAGTGATCTATGACCAAATAGCCTTGAAAAATATCAGGGTCAACTCTACTTTGTTTCAAGAATTGCAAGCTCATAGTAAGAAGAATAGAGCATTTGTGTAATGTAGATAAAGAGCTCAGTGCAACAGAGTTAAGTGCTCAAAAATGAGCCCGAGCACCCACATACAGACAACTGATGTTGACAAGTATGAAAAGGCAAATCTTGGTAGAGAAAAAAGCTATGACAAGATAATTTTGAAAAAATTAAAGTCTGTACTACATACCTGGAGAACTAAGAGCTATATGTCACATCATACAAAATCAATTAAAAATGAATCATAATATGAAATCTAAGATTATAAATTCTTTTTTTTTCAAGATTTATTTATTATGTATACAGTGTTCCATCTGCATGTATGCCTGCAGGTCAGAAGAGGACACCAGATCTCATTACAGATGGTTTTGAACCACCATGTGGTTGCTGGGAATTGAAATCAGGACCCCAGGAAGAGCAGTCAGGGCTCTTAACCTCTGAGCCATCTCTCCAGCCCATGAAATCTAAGATTATAAAACTTAGAAAACAAATCTAAGATTATAAAACTTAGAAAACAAGAAACAGTAAGATCTCACCCCACTCCCCCAGAAAAACCCAATAGCTGAACGAAACAAAACAAAAAAAATCACACACCAAAACTTTCTATTTGTTTTTGAAACAGGTTTCTCTGTGTAGTCCTGGATGTCCTGGAATTTGCTCTGTAAACCAGACTGTCCTCATTTGTTTTTGCTAATATTCTGTCTTTATTACTATAGCTCTGTAACACAATTTAAAATATGGGATGGTGATGCCTCTAGCAGTTTTGTTTTTCATGGTTGTTTTAACTATCCAGTGGGTTTTTTTTTTTTCTGTTTCTATGTGAAGTAGAAAATTGTTTATTCAATTTCTGTGAAAAATTGTTCTGGAGTTTTGATGGAGAATGGTTTGAATCTGTATATTGCTTATGATAGGATGGCCATTTTCACAGTATTAACCTACAATTCCATGAATACCTGAGATCTTTCCATAATCTGGTGTCTTCTTCAATTTTCTTAACTTCATTGTATTATTTTTTTATTATACAAATCTTTCACATGCTTAGTTAGAATTATCCCAAAATTTGAGGCTATTATAAAAGGCACTATTTCTGATTTTTTTCTTAGTCTGTCATTTATATATAGGATTTTTGTGTGTTAATTTTGTATCTTAATATTTTGCTATAGGAGTTCCCTGGTGGAGTTTCTAGGGTCTTTTATGTACAAAATTATATCATCTACAAATAAAGCTTTCTTCATTTCCAATTTGTATTCCCTTGATCTCCTTCAGTTATCATATTGCTCTAGCCAAGACTTCAATAACTATTAAATAGGTATGGAGTGGACAACCATGTCTTGTTCCTGATTCTAGTGGAATTGCTTTGACTCTGTTTAGGTTGATGTTGTTTGAGGGCTTGCTGTAATTTGTCTTCATTATGTTGAGGTATGTCCCTTGTATCCCTAATCTCTCCAGGACTTTTATCACAAAGGGGTCTTAGATTTTATCAGAGGCCTTTTCTGTTATCTAATGAAATAATCATGTGGGTTTTGTATTTTAGTCTGTTTTTGTGTTGGATTATATTTAATGTACGGTGAATCATTGCTGCATCTCTGAGATGAAGCCAATTTGGTCGTGGTGATCTTTTTTATGTATTCTTGGATTCAGTTTGCAAATATTTTGTTGATTTTTTTTGCATCTATGTTTATAGGAGATATTGGCCTATAGTTTTCTTTTTTGGTTGGATCGTTGTGTGGCTTTTGGTATTGGGGTAATGATGGTTCTGTAAAAATAATTAGGAAATGTTCTCTCTGTTTCTGTTTTGTGGAATAAGTTTCTTATTAACTCGTTGAAGGTCTGATAGATTTCTCTGCTGAATCCATCTGCTCCTACGACTGTTTTGGTTGGGAGACTTTTTCCTGGGTGACTCTATTTCACTAGGGATTATTGGCTTGTTTAAATTGCTGATGTTATCTTGATTTAACTTCAATAGGCCATATATATCAAGAAATTCATTTCATGTTTTCCATTTTGGCAGAATATAGATTTTTAAATGTCTTCATGACTCTATTAATTATCTGTTGCAATGTTCCCAGCTTCATCTCTAATTTTATTAGATTGGTGACATTTTTATTCTATAATTTTTGTTAAAAATATTTTCTTCTAGCTGGGCAGTGGTGACACATGCCTTTAATACTAACACTTGGGAGATAGAGGCAGGCAGATCCCAATGAGTTCGAGAAACCCTGTCTTGAAGAAACAAAAAACAAACACAAATTTTCTGCTGCCTGCTTCACCAGAGGCCACTCGGCTACCACAACTCCAAGTGGTCACCTACCTGTGGGTTTGATCCACTTTCTCAGTGTCCCCTCCACCCTATCCCTCCTCATGCCCCTGTCCCAGTCCCCCAACTCTGGTGGAGACCCACTGTTCAGCCAAAGGCCATACCAGCCATAAGACCAGAGAGGAAACAGACACCAAGAAACAAAACACCCATCTAACAAAGACAAACGCAGAAATCAGCACCTAGATCTACAATCACCCCAAAACAGATACCTAGATGCCAGCATAAGAACACAATTAACAGCATTGAAGGCAATATGTCATCACCAGACACCCACTACGTTGTTGCTTGTTTATACTTTTTGCTCTTTTGGCTCTTTGTTTTTTTGAGATGCTGTGTAACCCAGCTTCCAAATGAATCCACATGGAGGCTTATTCTTACTTAAGAATGCCCAACCTTAGCTTGGCTTATTTCTTGTAAGCTTTTCTTAAATTATCCTATCTTCCTTTTGACTCTAGGCTCTTACCTTTTTTTTTTTCTTTTTTTTTATTCTGTGTATCTTACTTTCATTCCTACTTTGTGGCTGGCTGTATGGGGGCCCCTAGTGTTTTCCTCTCTTCCTTTTCATGCTCCTTGATCTCCTCCTCCCAGATTTCTCCTCCTCTTTTATTCTCTGTGCCTGCCAGCCCCACCTATCCTTTCTCCTGCATTGCTATTGGCCATTCAGCTCTTTGTTACACCAATCAGGTGTTTGAGACAGGCAAAGTAAAACAGCTTCACAGAGTTAAATACAACATAAGAGAATTCAATACATCTTTGCTTCATTAAGCAAATGTTTCACAGCATAAACAAATGTAACACTTCTTAAAATAATACAGCAAGTTCTGAATATTCCAACATAGCTGAAGCACAAGAAAATGACCTTAAAGTTAACTCAATGAAGATAATAGGGATCCTTCAAGAGGAAATGAATAAATACCTTAAAGACAGACAAGAAAAAGTTGACAAAAATTAATAAAACTGTTCAAGACCTGAAAATGGATATAGAAACAATAAAGAAAATACAAATTGATGGAATTCTGGAAATGAAAAATCTAAGTAAGACAATAGGAACTACAAAGGCAGGCATCACCAAAAAAATATAAGAGATGGAAGAAAGAATCTCACCTTAAAATGGCTGGATGACCATGAACAGGAGACCTAGAGTAAATCAAATATGACTGGCAAATTAATTATAATTTAAAAAAAATAAATGAATTCTTGTTTTGTTTTGTTTTTCAAGGCAGAGTTCCTCTGTGTAACAGTTCTAGCCAGATCTCCTGGGTCTCACTTTGTAGACTAGGCTGGCCTACTCACTGAGATCTATCCTCCTCTGCCTGGGATTAAAGGCATGCACCGCCACCGCTCAGATGATTAGGTGGACAAAGAGCCCAGGTTGGCAGTCTCCTTCTGGTCCCTCACCTCAGAGTTCAAGGAACCTGGTAGACAAGGGGGAGTAAGAATCGTGGGAGCCAGAGCAGTTGAGGACACCAGAAGAACATGGTCTTCTGAATCAACTCTGTGAGCTCATGGGGGCTCACAGACACTGAAGCAGCCATCATGGAGCTTGCCTGGGTCTGTGCTAGGTCCTCTGCATATATGATTGTTGACTTGGTGTTTTGGAGGCTTCCTGACAGTGGGAGTATGGTGTCTCTGACTCGTTTGCCTGCTCTCAGAACCTTTTCCTCCTACTGTGTTGCCTAGGCCAGCCTTGATGTGAAGGTTTGTGCCTAGTCTTATTGTGCCATGTTTAGTGGATGTCTGTGGGAGGCCTGCTCTTTTCTGGAGATGGGGTGGGGGAGCGAATCTGGTGGAGAGTGTTGGTTGGGGGACACTGGGGGGAGTGCTGTGAGGGAAATCTATGGTCAGAATATATTGTATGAGAGAGGAAATATATATATATATATATATATGTGGTAGCTGTGGGGTCCCTTGTAGAGAAAGTTTCTTTGGGCTGGTGTGTGATACAATGGAATGCAGATGGATTAGGAAAAAAGGCTTCCCTAGGTAGTGGCAAAGAGGTAGGGAACCCTGGGTGTGCAGCAAGAGGGGTAGTCCTCTGAAAATGGAAGTGGGGTGGGAGGAAGGGCAACTAAGGTCTAGAGAGACCAGAATGGGAGACAGGGAGAATAGTAAAAACCACCTACCTGAGTCAGCACAGTATGCCACTCAAGGCCCCTGATAGAAAGTGTTGCTATTACCTGGCAGATGATACAACGCAACATGTTCAGTGGAAAAGAGTTAGGGTGACCCTGGGTCTTCACCAAGAAGTGAACTCTCCAGGTAATGGAGATGGGACAAGCAGAGGGCCTCCTGCAGGAAGGCTACAGAAGGACTCTCAGGAAATTTATGGATGTGTGTATTTAAATTAAGTCAAGTTAAGTACATAACCCAGGCTGGTCTCAAATTCTCAATTTTGTTTCCGACTCCTCAGTACTGGGATTATAAGTGTGTTGGGTTGACATCATTCCTGGCTTGTAACAAATATTTCCTTCCTTCCTTCCCTTCCTTCTTCCCTCCCTCCTCTATTCTCTATTCACACACACACAACACACTCTCTCTCTCTCTCTCTCTCTCTCTCTCTATCTATCTATATATATATATGTTAAATACAGGCTATAACTGTAGGTCAGAAATACTGCACTTGCTTAGCACATACAAAGCCCTGGGTCCAGTATTGATCAAAATGGGGGGGGGAGTTACTACTGAGATTGGGACTTAACTGTTTTAAGTGAGGTAGTTAACAAGAACTGCTGTGAATTATACTAATTGTTAAATAAAAGCTTATTGGGCAGGAAGAGATTGAGTGCAAGAGTCAGACTATGAGAATTCTGGGAAGAGGAAGGGCAGAGTCAGAGAGTCACCAGCACGAGCAGAGAAGCAAGATGACAATGCTGTACTGAGAAAAGGTACCAAGCCATGTGGCTACACACTGTTAAGAATTAAGGGTTAATTTAAGTGTAAGAGTTATCTAGTAACAAGCCTGAGCTATTGGCTGAACATTTAAAGTTATTTTGGAAGCAATTGCCAAGTATTTGGGACCGAGTAGTTCTGGGACAGGAATCGTCCATTTACAAAGAACACTCTGGTTTGTCTAAATGTATACGAAGTGGTGCCCACAGAAGAGGCCATCAGATTTCTCGGAATGAGTTAGTGATGGTTATGGGCCTCATGTGGGTCCTATGCAAGAGCAACAGGTGCTCTTAACCACTGAGTCACCTCTCTAGTTCCTGATCAGTAAACATATTTCACCTTTCTTCTAGAGTATTTTGGAGTTCAAAAGAGTGGGATTCCCAACCCCGGATATATGCTTCGGATGAGTCTCTGACAAAATTCGGAAAAAAGGATGTTAAAAAGGGAAAGCCTGGGAAATCAAGAACCCCAAATGACCATGAGAAGCTAATTAATGGTCAAAAGGTCACATTCCCTTGCTCTGTCTGCAAACAAGAGATCAAACTAGCTGGGACTTTTCTCCATAAGAAACATCACAATGCTCTTAGTACACTGGGTTTCCAGTGGATGGGAGGGAAGAAACCGAAGCCCTCAATGGTCAGCATTCAGAGACAGTTTGTGATTTCTAACCTAGTGGCATCCTTTATGTTCAGTGAAAATGTCCTTCAGAGTATGAACTATGCATTTGAACTGCTTTGGAAGAAACAAGTCCCATCAAACTTCAGACTTTGTGATAAGGTTGGCCAGACTTCTACACATTCTCCAAAAATCTGCCACCTGCTCATTAAAGGTGTAGCCATCTGTGGCAACAGTAATTCAACCTGGAAAGCTGACCCAAATGGCAAATTCACGGTCACAAATGCTTTTGGTGATAAAGCCAATGTGTGCTTTTTTGGTTTGTTTGATGGCCACCATGGCGATGCAGCAGCAGACCTGGCATCAAAAGAGTTCCAGGTTTTACTTCTCCATCAACTGGCTAAACAGGATCCTTCCTACCATATGACAGCTGAGCAGCAAAAACTGATAAATTCCTTTCACACTGTGTTCAAGGAAGAATACAGGGCCAGAGAAGACGCCTTCAATTCCACAATCAAAACCTTCAGAACCAATAGACGGGAGTATGAGGAAATACACAAAGCCTTTGCAAAGGCGTTTTGGAGGATGGATAGGCTCCTACGGCTTGGAAGGAATGAGGTTTCCCGGGTTCGGTGGAGTGGCTGCTCTGCGCTCACTTGTGTATTAGAGGGTGTGATTAAGAACCCAAACATCAGTAAGGACTGGGCAAAAACGGATCCCTCCCAGAGGAACCAACAGGTCATCTCTGGGGTACTACACATTGCAAATGCTGGTGTGTATGCAAGGCATCTAAATATTGTAAATGCCTGCAAACCTCTACTGCTTCCAGAATTACTCATCTTTTAGTGGTTTGCTGATGTCTAGACATTGCACTGAATAATTAAGAAACAAAAAACTCCACTTTACCTATAGATTGTAGGCACACAAATAATTGTAACTATTTTTATAGGCGCTGATAATAGTTGTGTGACAAAACTTCTTGGTGAGACACAACACACACGTCTACTCGCCCCAGATAAGGATCCAATGCTAGATCAAAGTACAGATACTACCAAAGTCCATCTTGGTGAACCAATGAGTTTTATTGGGGTAACTTACAGGAATATGGAAGAGGGTTACTTAGAGGGGCAGAAATGAATTACAGATAGCTGCACCACCAAAGTCCAACCCAGCATGGGTGATACCTTACAACGCTGGGAACCTGGAACACACTGTACAGCTTGCAGGCAGCTCAACAGGTTGGAGAGTATCTTCCCAAGTGACTCTGGTTTAACCTTTTCCAGGCACATACAGTTTCTGCTTCTTCTAAGTAGCTGTCTGGCCTCAGGACCTTTTTTTTTTTTTTTTTTTTTTTTTTTTTTTCTTTTTTTTTTTTTTTTTTTTTTTTTTTTTTTCAGCTTGTCTTAGATACCTGAGAGTCTTTTTGCAGTTTGGCTTGCCAGAGTGACTCTCAGCAGCTTTATAGCTTACTCTGGGAGGGAGGGCTCTTGTGATTTGGTTAGAGTTTCAGTGACTTCCTGAAACTACTTTGAGTTGTTGCCTTTCTGCTTAAGGAGCTCCCCTGCAGGATGGAATCTTTCAATTTGAAGGAAACTGTCACACAGAACATTGAATGTGACAAGACATTAAATTTTCCAAATGGGGCTGGTGAGATGACTCAGAAGGTGAAGGTCCTTGCTAAGAAACCTGATGCTGACCTGAGTTCAATCCCTGAAACTACATGTTGGAATAAAACAGATTCCTAAAAATTGTCCTTGACTTCACACACACACACACACACACACCCTCTCATATATTGTACATATATACATATTTGTGTGTATAAAAATGTAAAAATGTAATGTGTACACACACATATACACATATTAAAGTTTTTAATTAAAATTACAAATGAGGTAATTAATAGAGATGTTGATACATGTGAAAAGTAAATACAGTACCTACGCTAGCTAGATCCAAACAAAAAAACAGACACAAGAAGCCCACTGCCTCTTTTTGAGAGACTGGAAAGTTGATTTTTTTTCTCAGCATACTTGTTCAGAGTGGTTCACTATAACTGCTAGGACAACTTTTGTTTACTTTTGGGGCCAGGACTCTTATAATCCAGGCTGGCCTCAGACTCACTATGAAGCCCAGGAGAATCTCCTTGAACTTGCCATCCTCTAGCCTCCACCTCTTTAGAGTTGGAGTTACAGACATGTGCTGTAAATCTTGGTGCTGAGAATACAACCAAGGGCTTTGTGAATGCTGGCCAAGCACCCTAATGAGCTACATTCCCAGAGACGTGTAACACTGTTTTCATGCTCAGTAGCCATGCTGTATCAAATTTTAATCAGTGGAATAACCATTTTTCTTTCAGTTTTCCAGGCTTTCTACTGGCTAAGATGCTAGGCAAATCTTCTATCACCAAGCTACATCTCCAGCCCATTTTGTTGTTTTGACATAGAATTTCACTAAGTTTCAAGGGTGGTCTTAAACTTGACCTGTCATGACTTTATAGTCCTGCTACCTTACCCTCTTAAAACTGGGGTGTCAGCCTATAATCAGCCCTGGCTGAGTTTTTGTCCTTATCATTATACTCTATCTTATAATTTTTCTTGATCTTCTGTTTATGTCATTAAATCTTTATGGGATTAAAATACTCACACAATACATATACTGGGGGTGGAATTATCACAGCTTTCCAGAATGGTGACATCATGCTACTATCTACTTAGTGATGGTTAAAAGTTCTATTTGTACATGTTCCTTCAACATTGTCATTTTGTCTGTTGTCCTCTTCAAAAGTAGTATGTGCTCTTAATCCCTGATCTGGCTCTTCAGCCCCATGTTTTGTGTCTTTTAACTCTTTCTGGCTTCTAAGACTGACCTGGAACCTCCTCCCTCTGACTCCACTGTGCTGGGATTACTGGTATAGTCTTGTTCATTATTTTAATTACACAATACATTTGTTTGTAAATATTTGTATGATGTATATTTATATGTCCTGCATAGTATTACATTTTTTAACAGTTGACTTAACTAGGGTTTCTATTGCTGTGAAGAGACACCACAACCACAGCAATTCCTGTAAAGGAAAAAAATTGCGGTTCCATCCATTATCATGATGGGGACCAGGCAGACGTGCTGCTGGAGAGGTGGCTCGGAGTCCTACATTGCGAGCAGTATGAGGCCTCAAAGCCAGCCTCCAGGGACACACTCCATCCAACAAGGCCACACCACCTCTAATGCCACTCCCTGAGCTTATGGGGGCCAATTACATTCAAACTACCTTAACAGTTATCTTTTATATGCTTCAGTAAGAAAAAATGTTGTATCTTTTAGGAACTCCTTTGTACAGACTTGTTCATCTGGTATTCCTTGCCTGGAAAATTTCCTTGGTCTCTGTGATGTCTATCCTCTAGTGATGGATTTTTGTTTTTTTTTGAGACAGGGTCTATTATATATCCCTGACAGTCCTGTAACTTACTATGTAATCCAGAAGGGCCTCAAGCTGGGATCCACTTGACTCAACCTCCTAAGTGCTAGGCAAAAAGGCACAGGCTGGTGATGAATCCTTAAGATATTATTTGCCTCTCACTTTTAAAGGAAATGCTCACTTGGTGTGTAACTCCAGACTGACAGGTTTTTCTCCCTTGTGGATGGAGTCTGTCTGCTGTTTGGCCTGGCTGGCATTGCTGTCTCTTGTCACTCTTGCTCTTCTGTTCAGAATGTGGTTCCCCCTTGTGGCTGCTTAGAAAATTTCTCTCTGTTTTTAAGCCATTTGAGTATGATTCATCTTACTAGTTAGTTCATTGGAACACATCCACAGCTTTTTCTTTCTCCATCTCCACTGTTTTACTCTCTTGTTTTCTTTCAATTAAATATTCAATTACAGATGGTCTGAGTTCTATGTTTGTGTGTGCTCACAGGCCATGGCACAGGTGTGGAGGCCAGACAACCTTCAGGAGTTAATTCTTGTTTTCTACAATGTAGCTTCTGGGAATTGAACTCAGGTCATCAGACTTGGCAGCAAAAGCACCTTTACCCACTGAGCCATCTCACTGGCCTTTCTTTTCCTCCCTTCCTTGTTGGGGAATATTATTTTAAGGTGTGCAACTTTTGTTTATGCTGTATTTGCTTAACTCTGTGTGAAGCTGTGATTCTTTGCCTGTCTAAAACACCAGGCCAATAGTGAGGCAGGAGAAAGGATAGGCAGGGCTGGAAGGCACAGAGTATAAATAGGAGAAACGAGTAAGCAAGCAAGCAAGAGAACAAGGAGAGGAGGACATCAGAGGCCAGATATTCAGCTACCCAGCCAGCCTCAAAGTAAGAAGGAAAGTAAGATAATGCAGAAATAAGATAAAAAGCCCAGAGGGTTAATTTAAGATAAGAAAATCTGGGTAGAAACGAGCTAATCTAAGGCCAGGCATTCATAAGTAATAGTAAGACACTGTGTGATCTAATTGGGAGTTGGGTGGCAGGCCCCGGTTAAAAATCCAAAAGAACAAAAAACAAACAATACTCCCTCTTATTTAAATCATAAAAAATTAAAAACCTCAAAAGATTTAATTATATATATGAATGTTAGGACAGCATGTACATATGTGACCTGTGTGTGAACTTGATACCCTCAGAAGATGGTGTTCACCTGGAACTGGAGTTATGGATGGTTGTGAGCCACCATATGAGTGTGGGAAATTGAACCTAGGTCCTCTGCAAGTGCAAGTGTTCTAAATCCCCAAGCCATCTCTTCAACCCTTGTTTTTGTGAGACAGGGTCTCATCACTTTGTGGACCAGCCTGGTATTGAACTTGTGTAAACTTTTGCCTCACTTAGTCTCCCAAGTGTGAGATTATAACCTTAAGCCCCCCTCCCCAATCTCCTTTCTCCATGGCTGGCCTGAAATTCAAAATTCAGAGTTCTAACTGCCTCTACTTCTGTAGTGCTTGAATTAAAGTTGCAAATCACTGTGGGTTTCTAGTGTTCTCAAATCACTCCCCCTCTCTTATTTTTTTCATTTTCTGAGATTTAGTCAGTCACCAGAGAGGTAGGGGTGTGTGTGTGTGTGTACAATATATATATATATATATATATATATATATATATATACACATATATACATACATATATATACATATATACATACATATATATATATATATATTATATATTATTTTTATGCATTTTTGTGAATTTAGTACACCATGTCCAGGTAGCCAGGTAGTTTTAAGAGAGTGCACTGGATCTCCTGGAGTTGGAGTTACAGGCAGCTGTGTGCTACTGATAGGATACTAGAAACTGAACTGGGGTCCTCCAGAAGTGCAGCAAGTGCTCTTAGAGAGTGACTCATCTTTCCTGCCTATTATTACTTTGACTTAAGAACTTCATACTTTCACCAGGCGTTGGTGGCGCACGCCTTTAATCCCAGCACTCGGGAGGCAGAGGCAGGCGGATCTCTGTGAGTTCGAGGCCAGCCTGGTCTCCAGAGCGAGTGCCAGGATAGGCTCCAAAGCTACACAGAGAAACCCTGTCTCGAAAAACCAAAAAGAAACAAAACAAAAAAAACTTCATTAGTTCATCAATATGGGGGTACTTAACAGTACATTACCCAGGACTGTTTAGTGAGATGGGTTAGCCCCCTTATAATTTTTTTGGACACAATGGTGTCATAGTAAGCCCAGGCTGGCCTCACACTCACGATCCACTTGCCTTATTTTCCTGATTTACTACTACTTTTAAATGCTGAGTATTTTCATGTATCTTCCATTTCAGTACCTTTATCTAGATTCTGTGTATGTTAGGGCAGGGAAACACACACAAATCAGGTATACGGCTAAATTTACCAAGCCCCCTCTTAACAGAAGTCAGTCAAAATGCTTGCCTACAACCTTGCCCTTTAAGTTGGTATGTGAATTCAAGCTTTTCTTCAGTGCTTCAGTAGGCTTAAGAATTCCACATGGTAATCAGCATTGGGAGTTCAACTATGTCCCCCTCCTCAGTTTTAAAGCTACAGTACCATTATTTACACATACACATACATTCCCCCCTATTTTAAGAGAGATGTTGAACTACATCCTAATTGTTCACCCAGTTGCCATGTTAAATGCCACTCGGTGTTGCTTTGCTGGTGACAATTACTTAGAACCTGACAGGATCCAGCTACTGACTTAAAGCCAGTTTGCAGAGAGTGCCTACCTAGAATGTGTAAGACTCAGAAGAACAGGACATGATGGCACAAGAAGCAGGAAGACAGGGAGTTTAAAGACATTCTCAGCTACAAAGGGAGTTCAAGGCCAGTTTGAGCTAAATAAAGCCTGTTTCAAAACAAAGCTGGGTGGTGGTATGGAACACCTTTAGTCCCAGCACTTGGGAGGCAGAGGCAGGTGGATCTTTGTGAATTTGAGGCTAGCCTGGTCCATGGAGTGATTTCCCAGACAGCCAGGGCTATACAGAGAAATCCTGTGTTGAAAAAACAAAAACCAAACAAAAACCCAAAATAATAATTCCCACCACACCCAAGAATTAATGACTACTTGTCAAAGCAGAAGATCCACAAGTAAGCATAAAAAAACAATAACCAAAATGCAGGTCCTGCAGTTTGCAGAAGCGTCATTTGCCCATTTTGGGTCACATTTTGCAACCAACCCAAGAGCTCAAATATCATTCATTCCATTATGTTAATTTGCCAATACTAAGGAACATCTGATACTGAGTCAGGGTTTTTGTCCAATCATACCAGTTGTATGTGTTTCAGCCACCTAAACCTAGATTTTTTTTTTCCTTTGTCCAAAATATTGGTCAGTCTGGGCCATACATTGACATTCTATCTCAAAACAAAACAAAAACGAGTTAAAAATGGAAGGAACAGAATTAAACTCAATAGCAACAAAATTTGATTCCAAGTACACCTCTATGTTTAAGACCACATTTTTGTTTGTTTGAGACAGGGTTTCTCTGTGTAGCCCTGGCTGTTCTGGAACTCACTCTGTAGATGACGCTAGCCTCAAACTCAGGGATCCATCTGTTTGCCTCCCAAGTGCTGGGATTAAAGGCTTGCAACCATCACTCAGCAAATATTCTTATTTTTAAAATGTATGGTACATGTGCATATAAGCCACAGCATACATGTTGAGGTCAAGGACAGCTTTTAGAAGCAGGTTCTCTCCTTTCACATGGGTTCCAAGAGATCAAACTCAGGTCATCAACAGCTTCTACTCACTGAACCATCTCAATGGCCTCACAATATTTTACTTTCAGACTTGGCAGATTAAAATAGGAATTTTAATTTTCAAGGATAGAGTATTCAGATACCAATGTCACCTCAGACAACTTGTGAATCACAATTGTACCAAGAGCCATTGCCTGTTGTTACACATACAATGATTCTAAAGTTTTGTGTGTGGGGAATCCAAGCCCCCTCCTCTAACAACATCTTTTAATTTGCTCAGACCATGTTTAGACCTCACAACACCAATGAAACAATATGATGCAAATATCACAGGTTCATCTCAACTGCCATCACTTACTGAAGACTTCAGTTTCCAACTGCAGGATTTAATGTGGCAGCCCATTTCCCTAATATAATAGAAAGTTTTACAGAACTTACGGTTTAATCACCCATCACAGAAGGTTTTAACTTTGGCCATTTACAGTTTTTGACTTTATGTTGTGTGTCTCTGTGTGTACCTACATATGGAGGTCAGAGGACAACGTGCAGGAGCCAGTTGTTCTCACCATGTGGGATCCAGGGATGGAAATCAGGGTTATCAGGCTTGGCAGCAGGTGCCTTAACCTACTAACCCTCTTACCAACCCCAAAAAGCTTTTGTTTCTTTCAGGGTTTATTATTTTTATGTGTATATGTGTGGATCTGTGCACACAAATACAGGTGCAGAGACCAAGGGTATCAGATCTCCTTAGACCTGGAATTACAAGCAGTTGTGTACCAACCTACATGAGTGCTAGCAACTGAACTCGGGTTTTCTGCCAGTATGTGCTCTTTACTGATGAGTTCTCTCTCCAACACTCAAGTTTTGTTTGCAAAGATGTTTCAGTGTTTAAGAACACCTGCTGCTTCCCCAGAGGATTAGAATTCAGTCCCAGCACCCATGTTTGGTGGCTCATACAAACTATATCTTCAGCTCTAGGGGATCCAATACTCTCTTCTGGCCTCTACCTTCCTCACGTGCACATACCCACAAATTAGCCATAAAAGGCTTTATTTGAATATTTTAAACATCTGCCACATAGATGCTAATAGTAAAAATCGAATTTTGATAGTTCCATAAAAACTTGATTTAGAAGTTTATGACCTGTAGTTTAAGTATTTTAAATGCTACTGGTTATCACTTATATTCGAATTAGGTGGTTTCCCAGTTCAAAATTGTATTTATATAGTGTTCAGCTTAAGTATTCTAAAAAAATTTACTTTGTGTTTAGTGTTGAAACAAAATTAGTAATACAATTTAACACAAACTGATAATTAGATCTCTCTCTTTAAAAAATTAAAAAAAAAACAAAACACCCTTTTAGGTAATGTGCAAGCAATCTTATGCCGAAATGGAAAAGGGTTTTGCCTGACCAAAGAACATACCACACGAAACACCAAGGAGAGAAGAAGAGTACTTCGGACAGGAGCAGTAATCAGTTCAAATGGCCTCCTGGAAGGGCACATAAAAACCACCAGGGGTCTTGGATTCCATGGAAGCCTCACACTGAAGAAGTCCATTATTCCAGCACCTCAAACAATTTCTGTCCCTATAGATGATTTATGTCAGTTTCTCATCTTAGCCACTAATGGGCTCTGGGAAGTTCTGGACAAGAAGGAAGTCACTGCACTGGTAATTACCTTGTTTCATGCATATAAAGAAATGTGTTCTGGTCCTGAAAACAAATCCCGGCCATCTAAAGAGCCTTTCTCCCTATCAGACAGTAACATCCGTGTGCTGTTCCAGTACAAACCTGAATATGAGGAAGATGTATCAACTACTAATCTAACAAAAAGGTCATCTGATTCAGTATTTTCTCAAGCTTGCATTAATCAGGCTAAAAATGCAGAAACATTTCCTCCAGAAATGACTAATTATGACACTCACAGCAAGAAAGAAACTAACAGCCCACGCACTATAGACAGTAAGACGGGAAGCGAGAAAGAACTATATGCTAAGAATTTCTATGAAGGTGCAGCTGAGTACATTGGCCATGAACTAGTAAGGGCTGCTTTAGAAGGTGGTTCCAGAGAGAGCATCACTGTTATGGTAGTGTTTCTCAATGGGAGTGAGTATCAGCTGCTGACATAAAAACATTCCAAAGACCCAGAGCAGCAAACAGCACCACAAAGACTTCAGTACACCAGATTCTAGGACAGATCATGACTCTAGACAATGATTCTTAACAGGAAGAAAATACAAAAGCGTTTGGTTATATACAATAAATGTGTTATGCTCACTACTTTATGTTAAAGAGAAAGAAAACTCAAGTGTTGCTTTTTATACCACTTTATTCCAACCTGAGCACCTCAATATAAAACTAAACCCTGGTGAACTGTTTTCCTTACTAATTTTGAGTTATTGTAAAATGTACAAGTTCTGCTAGCAGATTGACACTTAAACAGATTAAATCATCTGACACATGGTAGATTTCATATAATGGAAATACCTAAAATAATTAGTGCAACATACTGATCAAAATAAAATGGACTTTGAAAAACAAGGTTTCAAGATTATTACTAATAACATTGTAATACTTATGTTACAAATTGTAGGTACAGTGTTTATTATGGTTCTAGCCATGTAAGAACAGCAAAGCCCCTTCCTTTCATAGGGGGAATAAAGAAATAATTAGCTGTTTTAGTAACTGTACATTTTGTATACGCTTAGGCAATTCTTAAATATTACAGAAAATAATAAACATGGAGACTACAATGCAGTACTCTATTTACAGTACAGCTGAAGATCATATTTAAAATCAAGTTTGAATGTACATAATTGTTAGTGCACTGACCAATCATGTCCAAAAGGAACCAGAGCTCCCTCCCTGCTCCAGACAGACCTCTATGTAATGGCCAACAGTGATTAAAGAGAAATCAGACACCTGGTTTGTTTCCACTTTGTTGAAGAGCTCACACGAAGGGACCACTATCCATTAAAATGCATTCATCAGTTTTTATATTCCTAAAACAAGATGGGGTTACACATGACTTCTTTTCACTCAAATTTTAGGACTGAGTAAAATGTCACTAATATTCATTCTTTCTGGAGATGTAGGACTGTTTTCTTAGGATTATTTTATTAATATGTGGAATGTACACTTTTTAGCCAATAGGAGAAATTACCACTTGCTTGTCTTCTGTTGCTAAGCATAAATATTTTTAGTCTTCTAAAAATGTTTTCCTAAAGCTCACATTAGTAATTATGAATCTTTCACACCTGACTATTATCTCAGGTTGGAGACTGGGTGGGTTAAGTGTGGATCTACCCCCGATGGAGACGAATGGTTCCCCTGCACTTTCCCACAAACAAATTGTACACGGTTCCTTTTCCCTTTCTACTGCCGAAACATTAGTTGGAAGAACACATGCATGTTATTAAAAAGTAAGCTCAAAACACTCAAAATAATTCAGTATTAGAAACTTGATTCTACCATAAGTCTCTTTTTGGAAGTCACATTGGGCCGGCTAAATGCTCCCACACCACGATTTTTTCCATTTAGGAAGTTCACACTGGAGTTCAGTTACTACAACACTGGCTTCTGGCTGGCTGTGCAGGCTCAGTAAGGTCTACTCCTCGTCCTCTGGCAGAGTTTGCACCTGGATTCTGTGGTTCATTCTTTGGCAGCTTTTTAGCTAAGAAAGAAATGACCAAAATAAAATTATAATATTAATGTTAAAATCACTTAGACCTACTTATTTATAATACTCTTTCTCCAAAGTTTTATGTGACTGACTTGTTTGCTCCTTTCAAATGTTTATTATCTACTAAATGCCAGAAAGTAAAGCCAAACACCAATAATCCCAAAGAACACATCACTGGTTGTTGTACTAAAGGAGTTTAATTTCTTAGTGTTTGTGAAGGAATAGGTAGAGGCCAATTGTAGGCATATCATTTAAACTTAAATTTAATTAGAACTATACACAATTTTTATATCATTCCCCACAGAAATAACATATTTTACTTAATTATTAATAGTTTGTGTCATATTGGTTCAGAGCAAAGTAGGCAACTCTACTACCACTTAGCTACACTCAGACTATTTAATCATTAAATTTTTATTATATACAATCTGCTGGACATGGTGGGACATAACTGCAATCCCATGATTCACTCTGGAGAATGAATTGGTACACTCACTTGAGCCCAGGAAGGAAGTTAAAACTAGCCTGAGAAGCATATCACAACTCCATTTTGAAAAGTAAAACAGATAAAAATCCAGCCAATGGATCATGGCCAGCTATAAAGTATATAAAGAAGCTCACATTATATCAACATTCTCTGGGTTGTCCCAAATAATTCTGAGAATGAGTCAGGATATAAGCACATTCTATCAACATAACCACCACACCAACCCAACCAAACTAGTCCATTACTGTGCAACCTAATCAGCAAACCCAATTATATGACATACAGCATCCACTTCTTTCCTGGCTTCCACACCCTTCAAACATCTAAGTTTTCCCCTCTTGGGTTATGAGAACCTCAATCTGATTTACAAACAGTGACACTTACTATACACAAATAGCTTTGTGAGTTCTATACAACTAATAGTGGTTTGGTAGTGCTCCCCACCAAAAATTCACCTGCTAGATCCATGGCTTAATCCTGTGGACAAAGCAGCAATATTCCTGAGTAGTACTGCACTATCCAATCCTACCTGGAATCCTGGACCTTTTTGTTTGATTTGTGCTAGGAACCTGGGCTTGCACGTTACACACATTAACAACTACCACTAAGCCACACAACCTCATCCTGCATTTTTTAAACTGCATTTCCCCCCTACTTTGCTGTATCATTTATCTTTAGCCTCTCAGATGCTAGAAGCAGGTCCAGTGAGCACTGATACTGATGTTTGGAAAGACAGCTTCCACTGGGCCACCCTAGGAATGACTCTAGAGCTGGTACCATAAAGTACAATAAAGATAAATGTTCAGTCAGATGTATTTACAAGCAATGCCCAGAAAGTGGATTAATAATGGTACTAGGAACACAGAATAAGTTAGCACTGTAGCCTGTATTATAGTAAATACTGAATTGGGTTTTGGAATGTATATAATTTCTCCTTATAGTTTACTCCTCTAAGGACTTTCTTTAACCACATCTGACTGAGATTAGGAGGAAGGAAGTAAACAGCAACAAGGACTGTTTCTGTTCACTGGACTGATTTGAGATGCTAACTTTATCAAGGAAAGACCACAGTTCCATTTACACTGGAGATTTCTTTAAAGAAGGGAAAGAATTTAATTTGAATCAAAATCTGCCAGTGAGGAATAGAATCAGGCTTCAGAAATGCAACACAAGCACTGTACCACAGAGCTACTTGCCCAGCCTACAAGTCTTAAGATTAAGTCTAAAGTGTAGCTTCGATGGGAATGGTGGGTCCATCCTGTAATCCCAGCACTTGGGAACTGAGGCAAGAGGATCTGGAGTTCCAGGCCAGCATTGGCTGTACAGTGAGACAATGTCTGACAAAAATACAACAGGTTCAGTTAATGAATGCTTGTTGTGTAACCAGTAAATTCTGAGTTTGGATCCTCAGCACCCATGTGAAAACATGAACATGTAACTCCAGCACTAGGGGTGGATCATATAGAGATAGAAAGATCTTGGGATTTTCAATGAGCTCAGAGTTCACTGAAAGACTCAGGCTCAAAACAATGGGATAGTAAGGTGATTCAGGAGGTGAAGCTGCTGGCTGCCAAGCTTTATGACGTCAGTTTCATATCTGGAACCTACATGGTATAAGGAGTAGACCTCCCTCCACATTTGTACTATGGCACACACACACAAAAGAAATGTTTAAAAATGGAAGATGGAGAAATAATGAAGGAGAACATCTTAATGTCAACTTCTCACTTCCATATATACCTGCACAATAAAGAGCACTTGTGTGCAGGTGTATATGAAACAAAAGCTATTTTAAGGTACATCCTTGAACATGGATCATCTTTGTCAAACATTCCAACAGTAGGTACCAATTACCTACCTACTGGTAGCCACCTTGGTTATCAGACTACCTTGGTATCATAGTGTTCAAGTTCAGGTAACCCTTATTTTACTTAGAATGGCTCTAAAGCACAAGTACAAGCCCACCCTCCGGTACTTGAGATTCTTCCTCAAAGCAACAATCACATCAATAAATACAATGAAAAGGAAACTTCCAAGCCAGAACTGTTGGTATACAAATAAACCCAGCACTCTGGAGTCTGAGGCACAAAGACCCCAAGTTCTAGTCCAGCTTAGATACATACCAAACATAAACCTGAACTCAGCATCAATGAAACTCAACCTCGGGAAAACAAATCTTCAATACTGGGGATGTAGTTTAATAGTACAGCACTTGCCTATTATATTTAAGGTATGGGGTCTGATCCCTTTCCCAGGCAGAAAAGAATCTTTATGAAAATGGGAAGGAAAAGTTAATCTATGCTAGTTTTGCTATTCCATCTCTATGTATACTTAGGACAGAAAAAAAATACCAAAAGGCTTAACACCATCCAGTGTGTCTTGCGATATATTCCCTACAGATAAGAGACTACTGTACAGACTTTTCGGTGAAACCTTTGGAAAACTTACCTCTTATCTATTAGATGAACTTTTTTTTTTTTTTGGGGTTTTTCGAGACAGGGTTTCTCTGTGTAGCTTTGGAGCCTATCCTGGCACTCGCTCTGGAGACCAGGCTGGCCTCAAACTCACAGAGATCCACCTGCCTCTGCCTCCCGAGTGCTGGGATAAAGGGATCAACTTTTAATTCATCTGTATTATATAACCAAATATTCACTGAATTCATGAATGAACTGACATTACTGAGGCTGGGAATGTAGCCCAATGGTAGGTACACTGCTTAGCATGATGGAGGCCCTGGGCTTAATTCATAAAATTGAAAGGGGGAGAAAAAAAAGAAGAGAGGAGGGACCTCCTGACAGTCAATCTTTTTTTTTGTTAACCTCAATCTGAGGGTCTTATGCCCAGCAGGCTGATCACTATGTCCTGCTTCCCAACCAGTCTTTACAGTATTCCTAACAACATATTGTTTAGTGGACAGGATCTAAAAAAATAGCACAATCAGTTAAGAAACCAAATAATGTTTTAGAGGGCAGGGACCAAATAGTCAATGTATTTTGCTTATCATTTGAAAAATGTCATTATTAATCTTACCTATT